AGAGCAATTGAGTGGAATTATTTCCTAATATTTTTCTAGTTTTTTTGCTTTTAAATTACAGTTTATATAACTAAAATCTGTTATGGTAAATATGACTTCCAGTGTCATATGCTAGGAGAAAAAAATCTGTGCCCATAGAATTCATCCCTGATCCAGGATTTGCCCACAGAACCCCTATTCCTTTACCAAGCAGAAGCTTTTAAGAGACTAATGATAATAAGAACTAACATTTATGGACTGCTTACCCTGTATGAGGCATTGTTCTGAGTAATTAGATAATTAGATAATTCTCACAACAGACTTGTAAGACGTGGCTGTCTCTTTTGTCCTCAGTTTGAAAATAAGGAAACTGAGACTCAGAGAGGTCGCCTAAATTATCCAGGTCCCATACTGTTTCTGGTTGAGCCAGCCTTCACCTCTTATAGGCTGGCTTCCTGAGAAGACATCTACAACCACTGCAGTCTGGTAACTTTGTGCAGCCTTTATCAGTGTCATGTTGAGAATTCATACAAAATGGGCAAGGGAGACAAGTCAGGAAGATATTGCAGTGGTCCCGGGACAAAGTGATGAGGGCCTCAGTATGGATAGGGCAGGGTCAAGGAGTTGCTGAGGAAAGATTGAAGAGCCACTTAGCATATCATACCCAGAATCTTAGAGAGAGGGTGAGGTGTTTTGACTAGGAGGTTGATGCTTCCCCTGGGTGAAGAGGAAGATGTTGAGTCCCATTTAGGCATGCCAAGGGGGAGGCACACAGGAAATAACCTGGCCTGAAAGGTAGGAAGGAGGTATGGGCTCAGGGATCACCCAGCACACACATTTGGGAGTTCAGTGGCTGAGGAACAAATCACTTCCACTGGAGAGGTTATCTTTGATTCTACCCCTGCATAGCAGGGATGCTCCAGGAAGTGGACATGTGGAAGGAGGGAGGTTAGTGTGCTGAGGATGAGGAATCTGCATGGAGGAAGCTGGAGTGAGGTGGGCGGGTGCTGGGTGTGGAACAGGAAGGTTATCAGGCATAGTGACAGAAAGCTTTGAAATGATTTTTGGTGATGATTTCTAAGTCTGATAAAGATGAAAGTCTTTATGAGATGATTTAGACTAATGTTCAGAGTTGCTATTCCTTTCTTCCTCTAAAATAATTCTTAAAGCCAATGTAACAGGGAGCTATATGCTTCATTAGTCTCTAATATCCTGAAAGACCTTGTTCCTGGATACCTGGGCCAACAGAACACCTCTCAGACACGTCTTACTAGTGGAATCGCTTAAAGGGGTGCCCAGGGAAAGGTGGCAAAAAGGCAGATTTTTAAAAACAGAAGCAGTGGGACCCATTTGTGTGGGTACGGGGAGGGCATGGGCAGGGTGCATTCTACTGGTAAAAGGACACTTCTTTGGTAACTGCTTGTCATGTGGCCTTCTCTGGTCTTGAGCTGCTCATTATGCTCTGTTTTGTTGGTGTCATAGACCAGCAGTTGATGCAGGCTACATGGACTTCTTACAAGGCTCAAAAAACTTCTTGCCTGGTTTGTTTGCCTCATAGACTTGGGCTGGAAAAGCACAGGATAAGTCTGAAGGTGAAGGTTTAGGTTTAAAAGTAGTATGTGTTTTTTCTTGAGCTGCTCAGAGTTGCTAGAAAAGAAGTTTAATAAGACTATTAACTATTTTCCCCATTGTTTATGACCAATTACACAATTACCATAAAACATTTGGGAAATATAGAAAGAAGAAATGTAAAACACCCATAGTCTGATAACCACTGTTAATTTTTCCTGATTATAATCTTTTTTAGCTTGTTTTGTGTGATTATGATTAAATCCGATACTTATATAATTATAAGGCTAGTTTTTTTAAAATAATTTTTTAGTTGTAGTGGACACAATGCCTTTATTTTATTTGTTTTTATTTTTATGTGGGGCCAGTGGCTCTTACACGCTAGGCAAGGCTAATTTTTTTAAGCTAATGTTATAAACAGCTGTCCTAAAACTACAGATTTTAGTTTCAATTATCAGCCAAAACCCTTTTACCAGTTTATGAGCAAATCCAGGCCTTTCTGGATTACAGCTGGGTGAGAGGTAGGAGCAAGGTAGAAGGCAGTGGGATTCTGGACCCTGGCGGTCCATCTCGAGCCCTAGGAACAAGTGAATGCTGAGGGTGTGGGGGTCTTGTGTGGGTCCTGAGGAGCCCTTCCATTTCCCACCTAGTCTAATGTCCAGTGGCAGACCAGCCCAAGAATGATCAGAAATTTGGCCCTTGCCTCCTGGAGGTGCCCACACTGTAGATCTAGACTTATTTAACAGAAAGAGTCTATGCACCTCCCACAGTTGTGGAAGGGAGACCACTGTAGCTTCCCTTCTTCATACAAAGGAGGAGGAATGTGCATGGGCTGCTCTTTGCCTGTCAGGGCATGGTGGCCTCCACGTGACTTGAACTCACTTACTGACTCCTGAAGCTCTGTTTGTACCTTCTCTACAGTACTGGATCATGTAGTGGAAATTTTAAGTTGCTTACTAGTTCTGAGTTTAGAATTTTTTTTTTTAGTATATGTTAGTTTGTTAATTAGTTAGTTATGGGGAAGATTGTGTTATCCAAGAATGATGATCATGGAAGGTACTTTTTTCAGACTGTTCAGTATCTCCAAGACATGAACAGTGTGTTTGCTTGCAGAGAAATGTGCTCTCAGCCAGGGAAAAGTCATTCTTTGCCCCTGGCTAAATTATGTGAGTGTGGTACAAAAATTAAAACACCCAAAGTAACAATGAAACAATTTACCAATCATTTGTATTAAATATGAGTTTATGCCAGTGCTTTTCTCTCCATTTGTTATGCTTCCTCCTTAATCTGATCCAAATTGTTCCATGATTGTTTTCAGCAGAACTGGGCACAGTGGTGCATGCCTGTAATCCCAGCAGCTAGGGAAGCCAAAAAAGGAGGACCAAAAGTTTGAGGCCAGTCTCAGCAACTTAGATTCTGTCTCAAAATTAAAAACAAAAAGAGCTAGAAATGTAGCCCATTGAACTCACCCCTTAGTTCAATCCTCAGTACAAAAAAAAATGCCTTCAGTATAACATGCAGGGAAATCACACATTTTGGAAGCAGGCCCACTTGGGTTGGAAACCTGGCATTAGCAGTCACTGTAAAGTTTTCTCAGCAGTGAGATGTAAGCAGTGACATCTACTCCAGTGAGATGTAAGCATCTCCTTGGGCAGCCAGAAGATTGTGTGAGATGAGGTTTGTGAAGTATTGTTACCTAGAGGGTTGGGCCTTGGTCAGCAGCAGTCATTATCTCTTCTACCACTGCTTCCTGAAAGACCATCCTGTCTGGTGGTTCCAATGGCTTGGCCAAGCGTTTGTATCCTAAAATGAGACCACTAGCACTCTGTGATATGTACCCAAGGATTCATGTGGAAAATAGAAACAGCCAGCTTTCCCAAAGATTGAGGGTACTAAAGCACATCTTCAGGGGGATCTTAAATTCAAACTTCCTGGACCCTTTGGCCAAACCCTGGATAGAGACCACCCATATTTGTGGTGTTGCTTAAAAAAATAGTTTTCCAGAATTCCTACCTAAGCACTTTTGGTTTTGATGCTAGCAAGAGTACCCCCAAAACTTTCATCAGAGATTTTGTGGTCCCTTGGGAGGAAAGGTACTGCACAAATCACTCATAAGTGCACAAAAAAAGGAATCATGCCACAATTGCTTTTTGGTAGAGATAAGCCCCAAGAGTTATCTTGTGGACTCAAATCATTTCCTGCATTGTCAGTTTTCTCATTAACCCTCAACATGGTCCCTTGCCTGTGCCTCACTCAGAGCTCTGCTGACCCACCCAACCATGGTATGCAGTGGGACGGCCCTGGCTGCATTCCCCTGCAAAATGCTCCTGTCCCTCCAAGTTGTCAGTCCCCTGCCCTGAGGTGTGTTTTCCATCTACTCCATTTCTGACTTGTGGCAGCTTGTCTGGATCCCTGGATAAACTGAAAGCACCCACCACTCCCTCTGGTGTTTCAGTCCAGGACAGACCAGGGCACATTATTGCCCTGGATCTCACAAAGACGGGCTTTATCCTGTTCAGCCAAAGCACACATTGTCTATGCTGACTTTGTATTAAAGATAATGGAAATCTTCAGCCCTGAGCTTGGTGGGTCCAGGCCCCCAATAACTTCTGACAAATGGCTGAGTTTAAGAAGGGAATTCCTTTGAGCCCTTACATATTTTTCTTTTGTTCCTCCTGTGGTACTAAGGTTCAAACTCAGGGCCTCATACTCTACTACTGTGCTGCATCTCCAACCCTTTTTTTTTAATACTTAGTTGTAGATGGACACAATATCTTTGTTTTTTTATTAATTTTTATGTTGTGCTTAGGATCGAACCCTGTGCCTCATATGTGTGAGGCAATGCTCTACCTCTGATCTACAACCCCATCCCCTCCAGCCCTTTTTAAATTTTTTTTTTATTATTTTGAGGCAGGGTCTTCCTACATTCCTCAGGCTGGCCTCCAACTTGTGATCTTCTTGTCTCAGCCTCCCAAGTTGCTGGGATGACAGGTGTGCACCACCACATGATGTTATATTTCTTAATCCATGAAGTTGGTCATTTCCATAGTGAGCAGGGAGTGGCCAAGAAGCTAGTTTCAAAGTTGACACTTTTTAGTTTCTGGTAATGAAGAGATATTTCTCAGGAACTGTCAAGTCTAATGTGTATCTTAAAAGACATCTATTTTGAAGTAATACTTAATGCATAGTGAGAATCCTTCATCTGCTGGGCTCAGGAATTCAGATGGCAGTGACCCTGCAGATGGTCCAGCTAATGAGCAAGCAGCTCCTACTGGGCTGAGGTCAGAAGGATTTTGTCCAGTCAGTGGGATTGGACTGCAGGGGCCCCTCATCTCCTTATCCTGAGCAGAACCCCTGTAATCAGGGTCCTGGGGGGCAACCACAATTCCAGTATTCACATCTCATCAGTATGTGTTGCAGTTGGCCACAGTGTGCTCTATTTCTCTTTCCAGCTTCCCAGTGCAATGTCAGCTTAAAGAAGCAGAGGAACCGCAGCATCCTTAGCTCCTTTTTCTGTTGCTTCCGTGATTATAATGTGGAGACCCCTCCATCCAGCAGTCCCAGTGTGCTTCCGCCACTGGTGGAGGAGAATGGTGGGCTTCAGAAGGTCAGTACTGTTGGGGAACTACATGTGCAATAAAACTTCATTGGTGGCATATCTATCCTATCCTTGACAGATAGCCTTAGTAAGGGTATGTGTTCAGCCATTTACTTTAAGATTTTATATATATATATATTGAATGCATGAAATAGAGAGTTAAAGAACCAGTAGCAGACACAGAAATACAAAGACAAAAGGTGAGAGAGACATGAAAAAGAGCTGGCAATAAGTATAAATGAGTTAACTACCTTGTTTAATAATAGACAATATGCTTTATATATTCTTCTATAAGTTTAAATGTCATATTGTCACAATAGGTCAGGAGCCAAAATTCACCCAAATAAGGTCTAACAGACACATCTGAAACAAGTTAGAAGGATAAGCAAAGAGACATCGAATACAGGCAAAAACAGAGGTTATGCCAGGCATGGTGGCTCATACTTATAATCCCAGCAGCTCAGGAAGCTGAGGCAGGAGATCACATATTCAAAGCTAGCCTCAGGAACTTAGCAAGACTCTGTCTCAAAATAAAAAAAATAAAGTAAAAAAGGGCTGATGATGTGACTCAGTGGTTAAGTGCCTCATGTTCAATTCCCAGTACCAAAAAGAAAAAAGAAAAAAAAAAAGTTACAGTATTCATCTCAGTCAAAAGAGAATTTTTAGGTAAAAATCACCAAAAGAGACAGAGTAAAGACTAAGAATTCAAAAGTCATAAAACTTTATTTCCCCATTATCATGAGCAGAGGACATGAACACATAATTTACAATATAAGAAATACAGTATGTCAAACATGGAAAAAATTCAAAATACTTGAAGAAAAATGTTCAACATGTTAAATGATAATAATTTTAAAATAATAATAATTTTTAAAACAATGACATATCCCTTTCTAACAAATTGTCAAAGGTATCTTCAAAGATAATATTTGGCTTTGTCATGGGGTGGTAGGGAGGAAGGTATATTGAAGGAAAGTAGAGGAATTATATTGATTATTGGTGAGAATATGAATTATTACACCTTTCTATAGGAGCATTTGGCAGTATTATCCTACAATCTTAAAAATATGACATTTTAATATGCTGAAATCTAAGAAAAAATGTCATTTTGTTGACAAAAGCAATTTCACTTTATAGTGAAATTAATAATGATAAACATGTAAAAATTTAACCATAAGAGACTATCCATACTTGGGAATCAACCTAACAAAAGAGGTGAAAGATTTATACAAAGAAAACTACAGAACCCTAAAGAGAGAAATAGAAGAAGATCTTAGAAGATGGAAAAATATACCCTGTTCATGGATAGGCAGAACTAACATCATCAAAATGGCGATATTACCAAAAGTTCTCTATAGGTTTAATGCAATGCCAATCAAAATCCCAACGGCATTTCTTATAGAAATAGATAAAGCAATCATGAAATTCATATGGAAAAATAAAAGACCCAGAATAGCAAAAGCAACTCTAAGCAGGAAGTGTGAATCAGGCGGTATAGCGATACCAGATTTCAAAGTATATTACAGAGCAATAGTAACAAAAACAGCATGGTACTGGTACCAAAACAGGTGGGTGGACCAATGGTACAGAATAGAGGACACAGAGACTAATCCACAAAGTTACAACTATCTTATATTTGATAAAGGGGCTAAAAGCATGCAATGGAGGAAGGATAGCATCTTCAACAAATGGTGYTGGGAAAACTGGAAATCCATATGCAACAAAATGAAACTGAATCCCCTCCTCTTGCCATGCACAAAAGTTAACTCAAAATGGATCAAGGAGCTTGATATCAAATCAGAGACTATGCATCTGATAGAAGAAAAAGTTGGCTCCGATCTACATATGGTGGGGTCGGGCTCCAAATTCCTTAATAGGACACCCATAGCACAAGAGTTAATAACAAGAATCAACAGATGGGACTTACTTAAACTGAAAAGTTTTTTTCTCAGCAAGAAAAACAATAAGAGAAGTAAATAGGGAGCCTACATCCTGGGAACAAATCTTTACTCCTCACACTTCAGATACAGCCCTAATATTCAGAGTATACAAAGAACTCAAAAAATTAGACAATAAGATAACAAATAACCCAATCAACAAATGGGCCAAGGACCTGAACAGACACTTCTCAGAGGAGGACATACAATCAATCAACAAGTACATGAAAAAATGCTCACCATCTCTAGCAGTCAGAGAAATGCAAATCAAAACCACCCTAAGATACCATCTCACTCCAGTAAGATTGGCAGCCATTCTGAAGTCAAACAACAAGTGCTGTTGAGGATGTGGGGAAAAGGGTACACTTGTACATTGCTGGTGGGGCTACAAATTGGTGCGGCCAATTTGGAAAGCAGTATGGAGATTCCTGGGAAAGCTGGGAATGGAACCACCATTTGACCCAGCTATTCCCCTTCTCGGTCTATTCCCTAAAGACCTTAAAAGAGCATACTACAGGGATACTGCCACATCGATGTTCATAGCAGCACAATTCATAATAGCTAGACTGTGGAACCAACCCAGATGCCATTCAATAGATGAATGGATAAAAAAAAATGTGGCATTTATACACAATGGAGTACTATGCAGCACCAAAAAATGACAAAATCATGGAATTTGCAGGGAAATGGATGGCACTAGAGCAGATTATGCTAAGTGAAGCTAGCCAATCCCTAAAAAACAAATGCCAAATGTCTTCTTTGATATAATGAGAGCAACTAAGAACAGAACAGGGAGGAAGAGCTGGAGGAAAAGATTAACATTAAACAGAGACATGAGGTGGGAGGGAAAGGGAGAGAAAAGGGAAATTGCATGGAAATGGAAGGAGACCCTCATTGTTATACAAAATTACATACAAGAGGTTGTGAGGGGAATGGGAAAATAAACAAGGAGGGAAATGAATTACAGTAGATGGGGTAGAGAGAGAAGATGGGAGGGGAGGGGAGGGGGGATAGTAGAGGATAGGAAAGGTAGCAGAATACAACAGTTACTAATATGGCATTATGTAAAAATGTGGATGTGTAACCGATGTGATTCTGCAATCTGTATTTGGGGTAAAAATGGGAGTTCATAACCCACTTGAATCTAATATATGAAATATGATATGTCAGGAGCTTTGTAATGTTTTGAACAACCAATAAAATAAAACATGAAATGAAGAAGCATCTCAGGAGTATATCTGTGTATATGTGTGTGTGTGTGCTTTTGTGTGTACATGTGTATCAATATACAAATATATGTATATATATATATATATATAAAAGAGACTATCCAACATAGATTGTAATACTGCATAATTGCAAGCAATCTGATGTTCGAGAATAAACAGTTGGTTAAAAGAATCTCAGAATAACCATACAAATAATATGTAGCCATTAAAAATCACATAGCCAAAAATGGCATGTCATAAATATCATTGACATAGAGAAATGTTTATACATTGACTAAATGTATCATTTAGTAAAAAAGCAGGCTGAAATATGGGAAGGGGGTATATTTTCAGAGCATATATCATCTCTCTTGCTTCCTCACACAAGCATTCTAAATCTAGAAGGATGTATGCCAAAATATGAAGAGGTGAGATTAGATATAGGATTTTCTCCTTTGCCTTTGTTTCCCCACAATTTTCATAAAATAATCTTAAGTTACTTTTTTTTATAAAGTGAATTTAGTTTTAAAGTACATCTGGATGTAAGAAAGGGAATTCTGGGGAAATGCCAGCCTATGAACATGGCTTTGATCATTAAAATTCCCTCTCAGCATAGACCCAGGTGGTCTTGCTGGTGGAGCCTGGAAAGTGCATCAAGACCCTCACATTTCCTGACGTCCCAGGGGAAAGAGCTGGCACAGGATTCATTCCTGGTATTCAGTGAGAAGCCAGGAATCACCAGCAGAGGAAAATGCTTGCCCTCCACTAGAGTCCTAGGACAGGGACTGGAAATGGACAGTCCCTGAGGTCAACCAGCCAGCAGGAGCCTATGGATCCCCTTGAAAAAGGCCTACATTGCCAGCCTGCTGTGCACGGGCCCTGAAGGGGCTGCACCTGTGAACGGGTGGCTTTCATTTTCTGTGCCCTGGATGAGCCAGTAGTATGAGGCTTTCTTCATCTCTTTGTGGTTTGTTAGCGTGGCCTCTGCTGGTCTGTGGAAACCACTCCTTGCTGGGCTTTGCAACCTTCCCCCATCTGCTGCCTCCCAGAGATCCCAGTGGACTGACCTGAAGGGACACTAGCGGAACACACAGCCTTGTACAAGGAAGGAAGAATGTTGCCTCAAATGAGAAAGTCCAAGTTGAAGAACTAGAATCAGATTCCTCCTGGGGAACAAGAAACAGAAGAAATAGAGGAGAGTTTAACAGACAGTGGAGGACATCAGTTATGAGTTACTTTTGGAACTTAAAATTTGACTTAAGGTTTCTAAATATAAAAATTCAGTAAACAAACTTGAAAAGGAGAACAAGAATAGCCCCTTCTGAGAACTGAATTAATGTTCTGGAAAAGCAAATGGAAGAAGTATCTTAGAATTCAGACCAGAAACAAAGATGGAAATTGTGAGGGGAGGAGAAAGGTGTCTAGGAGACCTAACATGCAAATAGAAGGAGCTCCAGAACAAGAAAAAAATAATAGAAGAAGTTTTTTCCTGAGCTGAAAAAGAATGTTTGAATCTACAGATTGAAGGTGGCTACCAAGTCCGTACCAGGATCAGAGTGGGCAGGAGATGGAGTGCATGCCTAGACATACACTACTGAAATTCTGCAATATAGAGAAAAAAATCTTGCAAGCCACCCGAACAAATTAATTTGAGAAAACCATTAGATTAGTATCAAATTTCTCATCAGCGACACTAAAGGCCAAAAGATTTTGAAAAATGTTTGCAGGCCACTGAGAGAAAAAAATTACAAAGCAAAAATCCCCTATGTGACCAAGCTAGTCTTTATCTATTGAGGCAAAAAAAAGTATGTTGTCAGACATGTCATAATTCAGAGAGGCCAGAAAATTAAAATCTGGATGAGAC